ATACTATATATACTTATATTATAAATATAGAAATTAGTAAAGAAGAAGATTTTAATTAGTTTTAGATCTTTTTTTATATTATAGTTAAATTATTAATAATTAAATATTATAAGGTTAGGGTAGATATATAACTTATTTATCTATATAACTTATATATTAACTATATTAGTATTTAAAGGCCTTTAATATTTAACTATTTTTATAACTTATTTATAAGAAATTAGTTACTAAACTTTTTAAAATTAACTCTAGTAAAGTATATAATTATTTAGTTCTATAGGAGTAGGCTACCTCTATAATAGGCTATATTATTTAGGGCTTTATATTTTAGTATTAGTATTATTTATCTAAAAAACTAGCTTATCTAAACTCTATAGGTATTATAGAGCTACTTCTTAATAGAGAATTTCTTGAGTAGATAAAGTAGAAATCTAACTTCTTCTTAAAGCCCTATATAAAGTAATCTATATATATTTACTTTAGCTTATTACCTTATTAACTAGTAAAATAGTCTTTAATATAGTATCTATATACTTATTATTATACCCTTATATCCTAGCTACTAGTATAGTATTTAAATCTAGACTATTTAGTCTATTCTTAATAACCCTAGAGTATTTAGTTAACCTTAATAAAATTAGTAGTAGTCTTATAAGATTAAGGTAGTAGTATTATAGGTAGTAAGGTTATAAGAGATAAGTATATAGAAAATAGTAAGGCTAACTTAAATTATTTAACTATATTAAATAGATTTAGTAGAGTACTTAAGGAAAATAATCTAGTTTTTAATATTATTTATATAAAATTACTATTTATTAGTATATATTATATTTTTAGGCTATCTAGCTTATACTTATCTTATTTATTACTAGGTAAGCTATTTTAAATTAAATATATACTATATAAAATATATATATAGTATTACTAATATATTTATTAAATATACTAAGACTTTATACTTAAAGTCTTTTATAATAAAAGTAGTTAAGTCTTAATACTCTAAGTTAAAGCTTTTTTTTTATTTAAGGAAAGATAAAGGTTCCTCTTTCCTTATCCTTAGCTTCTAATATACTAATTAGCTAAGGCCTTATAGCTAAAGCCCCTATAACACTACCTAGTAACACTACTAGCTACTTTAAAATAATAAAGGCTAATTAAGTTATTATATTATTTATATTCTCTTAGTACTATTATATAGTATCTAAATTGCCTGGTTCTTATTTACTTTATAGTAGCGTTAAAAAGAACTAAGTAAGTAAGCCTTTAATAGTTATAGAGGCAGCCTATTACTACCCTAAACCAAGTAATAGGCTATTTTCTTTATATTTTTTAAGAGTACTATAGAGTTATAGCTTATTAAGGGAAGTTTTCAGATTAATATAAACGGTAATTTAACCGCATCTCTCTATCTTATAAATATCTAGTTAGTAAATCTAAGCCCGAAAGCCACCTTTATATCGTTCAAGTTTATAACAATTATATTTCATACAGTATATAGCTAGGAAAGCGCCCCCCCCCCCCTAAAAGAAAAACAAATACATACTAAAATTAGCAATAAATTAATCAATTTAATCAATATCCTATTAAATAGTGCCTATATATTTAATTCACTTTAAATTAAATAAGCCTACTACAGATTCAAATTAAATTAAACGGGCTAGTAGTAGATTTAATGTGAATTAACTAAGCCTACTATAGATTCGGTATTAAATTAAATGCCTAGTTATTTAATTTAACATTCATAAGACTTAGCATAAAATAAATCTATTAATTCGATTCGCATTGATATATGTCCAACCCTGGTTCCGCCCATATTATATATGATATGACCTTTAAAAATCTAATCATGTATGGTAATATCATACTATTGGACACACTGATAATGGTCGGCAAGCCAGGAATGTTTTTCACAGGCCGCATCTGTCGGCTCCATTCCGCTCCAAGCCTGAACGGAGGAGCTGACGATTTCATGGTCCAATGGTGTCAGCATCGGCATCCGAAAGAGTTTAATGTTACAAAGGGGCTTGCGTCACCACCAAATAACCTTACGATGGTCTAGGGAAATTAGCAACGGTCCCAGCTTGGCTGCGGCGACTGATAAGCCATGGTTGGTTGCAGTTCATCCTCGGTCCCATTGATTCACATCAGACAACACCTTATTTCGGATAATAGCGCGACCAACTTCCGAAGCGCCACGGTATAGGGTACCCTGCGATATTCTGCAGTACCGGGGAAAGCATATCCCATATATTAGAGTAATACTAGGTGGACAGTGCCATATTACTAGGTGGACAGGTACACGTGACGGCTTACCTAAGGTTTTAAAGGTACTTTATTTTTATAGCAAATCACATATAAACATAAGTATCTTTAAAAATGCCCTATATTTAGATTTTCTAGCTGCTGCCGTCACTAACACAACCACCTTCCTCACGCCGCTGCCGCTACCGCCGCTAAGGCTCTCGCCGCTGCTAAGGCTCTCGCCGCCGCTAAGGCTCTTAATACTTGCTAATTAGCTTAAAGAATGCATTTTCGCTGTTATTAACGATTATACACACATCAGACCTAGATTAACAATTCTTCTACCATTACCAGCGCCGCCATAGCGGCTATTATTACTAGCGAGTGATAAAGGAGGGAAAAAGGAGAAACACATAATAGCTACTGTTAAAGTTAATAGCGGCTATATTAGGTAAGTCTAAAAAGGTACTTTGCCTATAGTAGGTGTGCACGCAGAGTTAGAGGTACCGCGCTAGTGCACAGGTAGGGCGTCACGTGCACCTGTCCACCTAGCAATATAGTACTGTCCACCTAGCATTACTCATATATTATAAAACAGACGAAGGGAAAACAGCCGCATAGTATTGACAGGGTCCACCCCACAGTTACAACTTAAGGGAGAAAGGATGAGTATGTGTTATCTCCTTGGATTACTAGAGGCTAGGGGCAATATTCAGTTATCCTGCGTGGGTAAAGGCGACCTGGTGGGTAATGTAGATCCCAACTTCCCAGCGGCATGCGACGCCCGCCGCCGAGCGTACGCCAAGATCATATAAATAAGGCAAGCTAACGAGTAAGTAAACGGCTCCATAATAACTTACCATGCTCAAAAGCCTGGGGAAGGCGCTCTGCCACATTCTACGAGATAGTAGTCAGTCGCAAGGTCTTCTTTCATTTCGCCACCCTTGCGATATCTTTCCCCACCACGGCACCCACCACGTGGGTGACAAAACTGATCGCCGCTTTCTGGTGGTGAGCTGGTGAGAAAGCGGCGATCAGTTTTGTCACCCACGTGCCCACCCACGGAGCGGAGGTAGGGCTGATCAAACAATGGGGATTTTCCACCCCCTTATGTCACATTCACGGAAGCGACCAGAAATACACGGAATTGGAACACCAATCGAAGACTGCCAAGATAATGCAAGGAATTGAAGAATGTATCATATTTATATCGTATTCTTGAATCTGACGTAGCCCACTCCCGCCTAATACTGCAATATCCATCCATAGTCGCCTCATATGTTCCAGACCTCCAATGGCGGCAGTTGCCTGAATGCAGGGCCATTGCAGGCTGATCACTGTCTCTTGGCGCTGTATATAAATCTCGTTGAGGAAATAGCAGCTACAGCCCTAGCCAATCAAACTGACACCGACAGGGATGCTGTAACGCTTTCGGCGGTGGGGCATGGGGATTTCCTTACCAGCTGGGCGCCTGTTGATAGCTTGGGTACACACGCACCTCGGCAAAATAGAGAAACTTGCTCAATATTGAGTAATCAATCTATTTAGATTTGGTAAGAATGTTTTCCTGCACGTACATCCAAGTCCTAAGTGCCACTGGCCCCCCTTAATCGTGGCTTCTGATTAGCACTTCGGCCAGCTAACCCACTCATCTGCTGCCTGGCAGTCAGCAGTATAGCAATGGTTGTTGCATTGAACGAGCGACTCGACCTTGGCAGCATCACTAGCCGCTATTCAAGATTGACAGCTGGCCTCACGTTGGGCATCTGCCTGCTTTGACTAACTACCTTGGGCTACAACCTACAACTTACGAGCTCGTTATCAGTTTCATAATTATCTTGCTGGCAGTACTAGATTTTATGGCTGTCACTGACGAGTGCTATGAGAAGGTCACTAATAGTGTGTGGGCAGATGAATTGCGCCAAGGCTGGCGACACTGCCTTTGCTTTTAAAGCACCTGCGGGTCAAGAAAAATATAGGCGAATCAGAAGTGGCAAAAGTCACATGTGTAGGAGTCAGGCGCGTGTAGCTAAAACGTTAGACCCGTGTTCGCAGTTGCCTTCTCCAACTACTGAAATGCTAGTAGCCTATTTGAGCACGAATCGCCGAATTCCTCAGGTGATCATTGACCCGAGATGCATGACGTGAGCCCGCATGACTAGCTTATACATGGATTTGCTGTCCTATTTTCTTCGATTCCCTCGGCGGCCTAGCATGTGCGCTTGTCACGAATTGTCGTCGTGTGTTCCAATTACGTGGAATCTGGAATCCTAATTGCTAGGACATGTCCTTACCAATCGGATGCGTACTCGGCGCAAACTTGAGATGCACCAGCCGTAAATAGCACACCGGCTGACACATTGCCTTGATGATTATTTAATTGTTCTTACACCAATGTTACGGCTTAATACTTGCACGCCGCTTGATTCGAATATGCGACGGCTTTCAATATAGTTTCAAAAACTTGCATTCTCTCTACCGTCTTGATTGTTGAGGGCTCCATCCAGCAAGAGTTGTTCAATTCCCTCGTGCGGCTTGCCTATGGCCATGCGTTGTCCCGCGGAGCTTGTTTCACATCATTCATGCCGAGTGGTCATAGAGATGTTGAACCTGTTGCGCTAAAAAGCACAAAAGTGTAGGCTTACTAAAATCATTCTAGCAGATAAGCATACATTCTACGAACCCCTCACCCGCGCATGGAGATGATCGGTGGCTTATGAACTTGCTTGTGGGGTACTGATCCCTGGATTCCTCACTACAAGGGTTAAGAAACAGTGGTGACAAGGGCTGAGATACCAGGGCTTGAAGCAATAGCTCATGTCTACTAAATCTATCATAATCGTCTTTGGCCGCAGAAGGTCCTTTAAGAAAGAGGAAGGACTAATCAGGGTATCCATGATAACAGCATAAATCAGATGCCTTTTCTTTTTTTCATCTTGAGCTGCTTTAGCCGGCAGCAAGTGAAACCTGATAGCTATTTCGTATAAGCAACACTAGGGGTTCCTGCCAAGTTTGGCTGAAACACGACGTCCATGAACAACGTGCTCATGACATTGCATGAACCAAGTACTGGCAATAAAAAAAAGGGCTACGTCTAAGTCCTTGTAAACCATCCCATAGTAAGAGAGTTTCAAAGTACGTTGATCCATGCAACGAAGCTCGGGGTTGAGAAGCGAGCCAGAGAGTATAAGACGATAAGCTCCCTTGACCAGACTCTGGTTGTGATTCAGGCCATTCCTAAACGCTGAATACTTTCAATTTATCATGAAGCCTATCGTGTCTATTGCCGCTCTTGTCTTGATCCAAAGCTCTATAGCTTTGCCTTGGCTGGGCTCCTTCCAGCTTTCAGGGGACGATAGCAATGACATCACTCGGGGAGATGATTGGATCCCTCCTGACTTGGTGGAAGGCATCTTGGCCGGCATCGCGGCTGATCAAGAGGGAACTGGAGTACAAGGCATCGACGGTCAATCAGACGACGACTCAAATAGAGGAGGCAACCAAGAGCAAGATGGATTTGGGAACAAAATGCCTATCTTCCCCCAAGCAGACGACTCAACTACACCACAAAATGGACCTGGAAGCAACGGGCGGCCTGGGTTTGGCTTTCCCCAACCTGGATCAGACGACAGCTCAGCCGAAACAGACGACGACAACGAGGTTGACCAAGGTCAAGATGGACCAGCAGCCGGGGTAGGCAAACCAGGCGATGACTACCCTTTTAAGAACTGCGACCAAATTGACAAGTATGGGGTGACAACATGTCAATGTACTAGCTTTGCTGCGTGGCGTGTCGATCAACGACTGAATGTGCCCTTTAAAAAAATAGGGCAAATGGGAAGACAAGGCAGGGGTTGGGGAGACGCAAATCAGTGGGACCAGGTCGCTCGCCAGGCGGGTATCCTCGTTGACGACAATCCCGCACCTGGATCCGTTGCTCAGCATGACAGAGGACCGTCCGGACATGTTGCCTGGGTAGTTGGCGTGGAGGGCAACTCAGTCAGAATTGAGGACTACAACGGATCGGGGGGCACCAAGAGGTATGGACAAGCCACAGAGCCTCGAAGAAAATATCGATATATCCACTTCGAGAAGTATAAAGGGGACCGCGGGTAACTACTCAGCGCCTTATAGCAGAATGACTGAAGAACTGGCCTGGTGTCTAGTGTGTCCAATAGTGTGATATTACTATATATGATAAAAGTTTTAAAGGTTATATTATATATAATATAGATAGATTCTCTATTATATTATATAAGACTTATATAATATAACTTCAATATATAGTAATATATATAACTATAATATTTATATAACTCTCTTAGCTCTCTTAAAACTAATATAGCTAATTAATATAACTATAAAACTATAGCCTTAGATTAATAGCTAATTAAGACTAAGGTCTCTTAGCTAATATTAAGGGTATTATCTATAAAAGCTACTCTATAGCCTTTACTAAGCTATAACTTAAGGTATTTAATTACTTTAATACTCTTAATACCTAAGTAGCTCTTATAGTCTATTATAGTGATTTTTATACCTAAAAATAAGTATTCTAACTCTATTAATATTACTAGAATAGATAATATATCTAATATTATAATAAATAAGGCTAGATAAGACTTCCTTTATATTAGCTTAAGCTACTAGGATTATAGATTTATAACTTTTAATATTATAGGAATAAGAAGGTACTTTATATACTTATCTTAATTAAGGCTATTCCCTTTCTTTTACTATACTATAACGTACGCCTATACCGTCAGACTATAGGGCAAAAGATCAGGTTATTAAAAGCAGTTCTAGCAATTAACGAAGGCGTAATAGCGGTATATATAGCGTAGAGCAGTCATAGTAGGCACCTAGCTAGCCGTTTATTACACTATACTCCTCCCCTCTAGCTAGCTATCCACAGCTACCTAGGAGGCTCCCTAAGGCTACTAACCTTATTCTAGGGACTTTAGCTACTAATTTAACCCCTAGGAAGACTATTAGTATATAGGCCCCCTATACTAGTACCTATATAGCTTTTATATAAGGTAAGTCTCCTGTTAGTAGCGGGAGTTGAACTTAGGTTATTAGCTATGTGCTTTTAAAATATGACGTACGCCTATACCGTTAGACTACAGGGTAAAAGATTAGGTTATTAAAAGCAGTTCTGGTAATTAACGAAGGCGTAATAGCGGTATATATAGCGTAGAGCAGTCATAGCAGGCACCTAGCCAGCCGTTTGTTATATATACCTACTAATAAAAAGAGTTCTTAACCTTACTAGTTATCTCTAATACCTAAGTTAGTACTATAATAATAGTAGATTTATACTCTATTACCTAGAAATCTTATATTTACTACTAATAGGGTTCTTACTAGTTTATAGGCTAGTTATTATTAATATAATCTTATTTTTACTAGAAAAAGAGTACTAGTACTATAATATAGACTAGTAATCTATCTATTAAGCTATAATATTTATCTAGCCTAGCCTAGCTAGAGTTATAGTAATAGCTTATAAATAAGTTATTAGTATATATCTCCTTTACTATCTTAAACTATTTTAGAAGGAAGTCTATTATTAGTAATACCTAGTTAATAGTTATATTATAGCCTTCTATACTTATTATAGTATTATAAAAGTATAATAGGAAGCTATTAAGCTTCTATAAATCCTACTAATTTCTTTTTAAAAGTAGGTTATCACTATTTTCCTAATATTAGTAGTAAAAGAGATTAGTAGCTATCTTAACTCTTAAGCTTTATTACTATATAAATTATTATATACTAGGAGTTCTAGTATATAAGTTATTATATACTAGGTTTTAGCCCCTACTAAGTTCTCTAAACTAAGCTAAGTACTATAGACTTTATTAAATATAGATTATAATATTATAAAGTCTTCTAAGGGCTCCTCTATATCACTATTATTCTATCTTAAGCTCTATATATATTAGTAGGCTAAAGATATTATCTTTATCTTTAGGCAGTTCTTTATTTATACTAAAAAGAAAGGACTAAGTAGCTAGATTAATAATATAGCTATTATAATAAAGGCAGTAGTACTTAGTATTATAGCTTATTTAGTACTAGTTAAGTAATACTTTTTATAAGCTAATTAATATCTTTTTAGTATTTAAAGAAAAGAGAGTACTTAGCTTAAATTATATAGCTAGCTATATAATATATATATATATATAAAGAGATCTTATTATTATACTATTATATTATCTTTAAAAGGTATATTTTATATCTTTATATCTTATAGTTTAATCTCTAAGTTTTAGATTTTATTATATTTTATATTTATTAATATAGTTAATAAGCAAGTTACAT